TGCCAGTCACTGTAGGCTGTCAATGCTTGCTCTTGGCCCTTTTTTCTTCTCTTGTCTAAAATGCCTGTGGAAGAGAAGGAAGGTTCCTATATGTGAAGGGCTAATCTACCTGTGTTAAGTCCAGTAGTTTTTCTGTCACTCTCCATGGGGGATGAAGTGGACGTGACCCAGTATTCTTCAGGAGGTAAAAAATTAATTCTCCTGAAGTGCTGCCAGAGAACACTGATGATTATTGAGTATTGCAGGTACTGTAGAAAGCCTGCAGAGAAAGGCTGGGACCTCCATGTCAAACCTGGTGAGAGGTGGAGGGCTCTTAAAGTAGCTCCAAGTAGGATACTGACCAGCAACAGTGGTGGCAGTGTCAGGCACCCCTTTACATCTCTTGAACCTTCTGTTTTTCAGCTGCGCAGGCCTGGCTGGCTGGGGTAGGAAGCAATAGTGCAGCTGCCCCCTTTACCTCCCAGGTCAGTGCTGATGGGCTGTTCTGCAGCCTGGTAAACATGCATGGCTTCATATGAGAGCCAGGAGCTAAGCTGAACTCTAAGTACCGAACGCTTTCCCTGAAGTGAGTCAGGTTTCCAGTGACGGGGTAAAAAACAGAGCAAGACCAGAAAGCCTTAGAGGCTGCCACACAGGAGTGCAACAGTCTGGGCAGCGACTAAACCCCACACCTGTAACAAACCACCCCACAACTTCCCTTTCAAGCACACAACTAAATCAACAGATAAGATGCTGCAAATTCTACTCACCTGTTACTCCTGGGCAGAGACATACCTGATTCATTTCTTTTCATGCATTCATCCTCTTACGTCTTCATCATCTGCAGTTCTCACACCACTTTCCAGTTTCTGCACAGCATACTGGTGGTGAGGTGCCCAGCAAAGCATTGTTACAAATAGCAAAGATCAAGGCAATGTTCAGAAAACTGCACCGTTTGCTGCAGAGGTAGCTGACAGAGATAGGCCAGGTAAACATGAAAGGAATGGCTTAGGATTGACTGAGTGCAATCAATCAGCACGACAGCTCAGACTGAGGAGATAAAACTACACTAGCATTTATACACTGACTTGTTCTCTCAAAGGAGAACATTAGGATGTTTGCCTAGATGTTACAAATTACTTGGAAAAAAAGGTGCCTTGATGCAGATAGCAATTCTAGTGTGTTGATTGTTTTGACTCTTTCTGCAGTGGAACAAAATGCTAGCTCACACCAAGGGACTTAGGTGCTGCCTGGGGGAGAAACTCCTGCACAGTTCTCCAGCAGCTGGAGGGTTTAAGTGTGTTCTGTGCTGGCAGTCATGGCCATACCAGAAGAATCTTTTCTGACAAAAACCAACCAGGATTAACAACTAAGCTCCCAGAAAATGAGAGGGGAAGCACAAAATGGAGGATGAGGTGAGACCCAGGGGTACTCAGTATCCTAGGAGGATTTTTGCATTTTTATCTCACCAGATGAACATTCAACATTCACAAAGGCAGCCTGCTGCATCCCTGCTTGCCTGGCAGCAGCCTCTGTGTGTTAGATTGTATGACAGTCAAGTATAGATGGCCTAGTGGGAAAGCTGGTAAAAGGCAGAGCTTTATTAGTAATTAGACAGAGTTTGCACAAGGATATGGCTGTTTGCTTTCAGCCTTATCCTGACCCTGTGATTAGGGATGCACTGATCATTTGCTTATTAGGACTTGAAAACAGAGGGCAGAAATTCACTCTGCTCCTCTTCATGATCAGCAAGTGTTCACACGAGCTTATAGATTGTAGAGCAGATGCAGTAACTACTGAAGTGAGATTTTTCCAGGGACATTACAGGTTTTAGAACATGTCCTGCATGACTGGAATGAACCAAAGCTAACACTTCCTCTCTGTTTAGGTAGTAAACTGAAGTTCATTGAACCATTTCTTCCTTTCATGCAGGGAGACCTTTAAAGTCATGTACTGGAGTACAGGCTTGAGATGACCTGTACGGTTTGGTAACCATAATCCATTCTTTGAAATAAAAGGTGTAAGCCTGCTTGCAGCCCTGAATTAAGACCAAGACCCAGGGAGAGTGGGATTTTAGATTCAATCACGTCCTTCTCCTTTCTATTCGCCGATCTGGTGGTGGCTGTTTTGGATCCTATTTTTAAGATTATTCTCTTAGAGTATCTTCATTTCTGAAAGGAACCATCTCTCTGAGGATAACTTGTGTGTCAATCCATCTCCCAGTGCCATTTAAGTGCTAAAATTCCGGAAACTAGTTTCTATCTGTATCAAAATACACTTCCCTGAATGCTTCATGAATGGTGCTTATATAATGTTTTGAGTTTCTTAGACTGTAACATTTAACATTTTATATCTAAATAAACTGTTAATGTTGTGGGAAGTGGTACACAGCCATTTTAATAACCTTGATGTACTGTAAGATAAAAAAATCTTTGTATATCCCTCAGTGACCAAAATGGAAAATAAGACCTCATATTCTGCTCTTAACCAATTCCAAGTCAGTTCCCTAATGTGACTGTAATATTAGGAAAAAAAACATGTAAGCCAAGGATAATGCTATGCTCAATATTTTATTTATACTTTTATGTAAACATAATTTGCTTTGTAGGCACAATATAACAAAAGCTCTAAAGCAACAAATACAATTAAACAGTGTTTCAGTTCAATCAGGCTTAAGTTAAAGAGAAGCTTTCACAGTTCCTTTAAGGCAAATTGAGAAATAATTTCTTTCACTTGAAGAAACTATCCAATTGTCTTAGGGTTGTTTAAACAACACTGTCAGTAGTAAGCACAAACCTTCATTTCTACTACAGTAAGACTTGGTCGGTAACAAGTCTCAGCATCTTCATTTTGTATAGCATGCCCTCTATCACTTCAGACATGATACTACTGTTTGTGGTATTCTAAAAGGTACTTAGGGCTTGTGGGCCAAATTCTGCTAGCACAAATCCTGCTTCCAGAACAGATATCTGAAAAATTTCCATTAATTTCAGTAGTAACCTTCATATACACCATATTAATACCAGTAAAACACAGAGTAGAGGTTAGCCTGCTGATGGTAATACTCATTTGTGTTGCACTTGGGTAGACCAGAAGTATTCCTTTGTACTCACTGCAATTACCTGATACTCTGCTGATCAGAAAATGGCCCTAAAATTGGTATGAATTAGCATGAAGAGTATTTTTGCCTTGCTAACAAAACCAGAAAGAACTAGCCAAAATTATTTCATTTGATTGTTGTCCCTGTGGTATCTGTGGCCATGACCAAGATCACCCATCTTTATTTGTCTTGAAGGGTAGTTTAAGTGTAGAGCCACCCATACTGCGGTTTATAACAGAAGAACGGATTTGCTATTCTGCTTGCCCTCCTAATTTAAGGCCTTGAGAATGCCACTTTACTGCCAGTTCAAAGGTCACCAGCAATATTGCTCACTTTGGCATCAAATCAAAATTTCTAGTTATGTTAAGGTTTGTTGCAGGACAACATCATTACACTAACTGCAAAACAAAATTGGGCATGTTTCCTACCATTGTCAGCTTATGAGTCATGAAAACTTAACAGCCTTTCTTAAAAGCCCAACTGGCAAGCCCAATACATGGAAAACTCTCATTACATATATTTTTTTGTGGGTAAAGTCCCTGTTTGGGCCTGATATGGCACTGGAAGTGTAGGCAAGTCCAGCTTGAAAAGAAAATCAACAAGAGTGAAGTTCCATATCAACATCTAGAGAAAACTGAGGTTCAGGTTCAATTAATATTTCAAAAGCTTTTTTTGGAATTTTTCTCCACAGTTATTTCTCCTCATTATTTCTGAATTTGTTTAACCCAAGGGAAACTCCTTCAGAACGAATATTCTGCACAATTATCTGGTATTAGAACAGCAATTTCATGAGTACAGTGTAAAGAGATGGACATTAATACTCAGGCAGCAAGATGAAACAAACAGAAAAAAACCAAGAGATAATCTTCTAAAACCACACATAAAAGTCATCCAGACCCACAAGTCCTTTCACATTGAGAAAAGCCTGAGCAGCTCTCCCTCCCCACTTTTCTATATTAGTTTTTAACTTCTATCACTACAGGATATTTGTAGATTTAGGTGAACAACTAGCCATGCTTGGGAAAATAATTTCATTTGAAAAATAATATATTAATTCGAAGATGTATGGCATTATACAAGGTCTCTTGACATTCCTTTAGCATTTCTACTGTAGGTGATTGCAGTCATTTTAAAATAATTTTTTTAACAAGACAATTGAGGACCTGAGTAGCTGCTGCTTGGATAGATGAAAGACACGGACAAAAAAAAATTACTTTTGTCATGTTTAGATATAGTTTCCACTAGTGGGAGGTAGATAAGACTAGCTGGTCTTTGAATACTTGATCCTGCAAATAATTATAAACATAACTGCACATATGGAGCAGAGGTTTTGACAGAACTACTCACCTAGATAAAGTTATCCCTGTGCATAATTTCGGATGGGATTAAGGCCTAAAATTCATTTTTAACAGGGTTAACTTCTGCAGGAGTTCAGCACCAGCTTGGTAGCTAATCAAGACATTAGTGATTTCACAGCAGTAAACTCCATCAACTAATTTCTTTCCACATACTGATGAGTGATCCTTACCAACATAATTTAAAAATGAAATTTAAAACTTTGGACACAGACGAGTCAATATGTACTTAACAGAAGATGTTGATCTGTAAATAACAATGCTAATTGCTACAGGCAATGAAAGTTCTGGGTCTAAAACGAGTGGCTCACTGACCGTCTTCTTTGCCTGTAACGTACGGGCTGATAGCTCAGACCAACAGGAAAGCATAATAGTTGGCACTCTGAATGAAGTGTTTAATTACTGGTGCTGATGAGTAACGTGAATATACAAGGCTAATCACAGTCTCTTAATTAAAGATTTCTTGCACAATTTCAGATTCCACAATTCTAAATGAGGTATTTTTGAAGACAGGATTGCTTATAAAATGACAAAGCATGATTGAGGAAAACGGAAACTCATCTTTTTTGTAACTTTTATCTGTGGTTCATAAAATTAAAACTATTTTAACACTGAAAATCCACAAACTTAAAAACCTCCCTCCAGTTACAATCATCCAGAGAAGTGGGGAATTTTTTTTGTTACTGTTTCCAACTTGTAAAAAAAGCCCAAGCTCCCCAAATAACTTTATGCAAAATGTTGGAATTTGCATAAGAAAGATGCCCATCTAAAATTACACGGTAAGTTAATAAGGCTTTTAAACCGGAACAGAAAAATCCATGGGACTGCTACAGGGAAACTGGGTGTTACACAGCAATGTCATAATACTGCACTGGATGAGAATGGCACTTGAGTTCAAAACAACAATGATCAACAGCTCATAGCTCAGTTGACTGCAGACAAATACAACACACACTGTACTACAGCATTTGTTCACTGATGCACAGAATAGATTTCCCAGTCTTGTTCCTTTCTACTTCATCAATCTTTCTGCTTCCACCACCTTCGGTTGTTACTGGATGAATGGCATGCGCTCCTTATTCTCGTTGTCCCCTTCGTGGTCTTCCTCCTCTTCTCCAGCCTCGCTCGTCTCTGTGCTGTCGTTGGCCATCTGCGGGATGAAAAATGAAGGACATCACAGCACCTTTCACATTGTTTTATTCATTCTTATTTCAGTTTGATTTATTTGATGAAGTGATTTTTAAAATGAAAGAAGACATGGTTGCAACATGAAAATAAACATTCTGTTTGTGCAAAACTTTTGTTGGCACTACACCACTTCCAGCTACAGTTGTAAGCTGTTCCCTCATGGCTTACAGCTGAATCACGTAACAGAAAGCTGCTTTGCAGGACAGTTGCACAAGTGGACTCTGGTCTGTGCACTTGTAGCAAACTGGTATTAAGGCTCTCGGATAGGAAATACGACTGTGTAGGAAGTTTACTGAATGTGTGAGACCTCTGGTTCACAACTCCTGTGTCTGCTCTTCCAGCAAAAGGTAATGCCATTCTGTAATGCCAGCTCATGGATGGGATCTGGTCCCACATGAGGCATAGTGTCATGAAAACTCAGAGAGCAACTGTTGTATATAAAAAAAAACCCAGAAACTTTATTATAGAGCAGCGGATATGTAGACACTGGCAGAATATACTCATGACAGAGTGCAAATCTTGGATCTTACAGAAGCAGGGAGAAACTGCACTTCCATATTTTATTGAGGGCGCCTGTACAGGTAGGGGGCCATTGCAGAAATTTGTAGTTCAGGGTAGCATTCAAGGAGCACATCGTGTGTTTTCACATGGGAATATTTATTACAAGTTGTGTATAGGTGCAGACCCTCCTGTACTTCACCTTGTCAGTTTGACTTGTGTCTGGAGGCACAACAAGAGGCTGGTTAACTGCCCAGGTGGGGGTGTTTACAGCATAGATTAGTATGAATGAATTCTCTTACATACCAACACAGGATGTCTCTTGTCTCTTAGGACACAAGAAGATTCTTGTATGAGCTTATAACTATTTCAAAACCAACTAAGCAAGGGATGGATTTACTTTCTAAAGAGAAATGCACTGACGTTGTACCTTCCCTGTTTGACTACTGGCCTCTGCTGGAAATAAAACTAAAAATCTCAAACACAACCTGATTTCAATGGAGAAAAGCAATGCTCTGAATTTACCTGTTTTTTTGAATTAACACCCTTTCATGAAAGTGTATCAAAGTGTCCCCACAGCCTTTCTTTTCCTTGCAGCAATTTAGTATGAGATTTGGGGCCAACTTTAGACTAAGCGCAAGTAACAGCTTAACTGTAATTCCAGGTTCTTTTCTGTTCTTTTGAAACAGGAGGTATCTCAGGTCTCAAAGCAAACTTAATACATCAATATTGACTTCAAGTCAGTTTTTCATTACCTTCTTCACTGCTCTTTCCTACATCATCAGCGAACGTTTAGGCATGAACCTGACCTTTCATTTACTCCTGCTCTCTGTAATGTTTCAGTACCATGGGAAGTGCTCCAAATCCAGTGGCAGTTTTACCCTGATCTAAGACTTGCAGACACATTTTTGGAGAGGCAGATAGCCCTTCAGTATAGGAAAGTAACTGCTGGGTCTCTAGGGATTTCAATTACATTTCACTCTTGGGTTAAATATATAAACTATGATTATTGGTTGTATTTAGGTGCTATGGATCAAGAAGAAAACAGTCTAAAAAAAAAATCTTACGGGACACATCTCCAAAGGTCTCTACCATGCTTTAACTTGTGTGACTGTACACCATGCAGTAGAGCTTTGCACTCACCAGGGGAGTGGGTGCTTTCTCCACATCCAGAATTAGTTTTCCTATATTTCCTCGGTCATGGATTCTCTGCATGGCTTCCTTCACCTGAAAGAAAGATAACTTACTGATAATTTTCAGGCACACAATAAGAGAAGCCTGAATTCCTTCCTTCCAAAACCAGCAATACATTTAAGGCATGCTATGTGCAAGGTCATTCAAACAGCTGCTTGAAACAAAATCAACAGTTAAACATTTTTTTAGTGAATTTTTAAGGCCTGATTTTTGCATTGTGTTCGCCAGAATGGGGTGTGAATCTTGATGACAGCCTCTGAATAGCATTAATACATACATAATGTTAATGTAGTACAGAAGTAATGGTTAGCTGAACTGCTGAGAAAAATATAGGCCTAGGGAGTTAATCCTTACAGGTTGGTCATTAGGTTTTCTCTGTGCAGAATATTTGTCAAGAAACCCTACTTTCACTGAATGAAATGTTTTTCTAATTGACCTATGATATTTTTCAATGCATTTCTTTTGTGTTCGTATAGAGAGAATGACGTATCCAGGCAGTGGCTGTGATTAATGCAATACTGTGGTTCTCATTTCATAAGCAACTATTTCTTTTCTCCTTTTTTTTGTTCTTTTTTTTAATTGTAAGTAAGTAATGTCCTACAGATACTGCTAAGACTAGACATTTAACAGCTGCCTGCAATTAGCACAGGTGAGAAAGGAACAAAAACCTCTTCTTACTAATGCACTGGACAGGAACTTATTTTGATGAATGAAGTTTCAGAACTCACGAGAGCTCAGTGTTGATGAATTGAAATTGTGTGTGTATTGCACTGAATGTTCCCTGTGCAGCATACAGACCACGATTAAATCACTGAAAATTGGAAGATGTCAAGAGTTTTCTCACTTCCATGATGGGAAACTTTGGGAACTGAAAACTTACACAGAAAGGCTGTTTCATATCCTCATCACACTATTTTTTGCCAGCATAACAAGATATGTTGAGACAAGAAAGAGTTTTATGTTAATAGGATCTACCATCTGTGACATTTTTATTGAATATTTTAAGAATAATGGCATAGAAGTTTGAAACAATATGCTGACCAAGGAACAGGTGGGTCCCGCAGTACATTTAAAAGCTTGAACTGGGGTCCAGGCACCTAAGATCATTACTGAACGTCTAATACAGAATGAGATTTTTAAAGATACTAAGCGAACACAGCTTTCAACTTCCAATTAAATTTAATGGATGCTGGGCACAAAATGTCTCTACCATCTGTCAGCCTGATTTTGAAAGCTGACTGCAGTGAACTCAATATTACAACCTTAATTTTGCCAAGTGGTTCCCCCAATTAGTAAATGCCAGACTTAAAAAAAAAAAAATCTGTTAGCACAAAAGAAAAATTGCACTGCAAAACACATTGACTTTCTGACTTAGGGCACAATCGTACATTAACCTTGGAAAACACAATCTTATGAATCCCACTGGATAGAATTTTGACCTCTAAATGTAGTCCACAAAATCACAGTAACTTTTTTGAAGTTACCTTACAGCATAAACAATACCTAACTATTCTGTAAGGCTTATTCTGCACTATAGACAATATTCCTTTAAGAATATCCAATAAAGACCCTGAAGAAGCAGCACCTGTATTATTTTTTTGTGACTCCTATTAGCCAAAGCAAGCTTTTAGGAGTCTATAGCACAGCATAAATAACCAACATAGACATGACACAATTGGAGAAATCAGCAAACACACTTGCCCATCAACTGAAATTTATTACCAGAACATCATGTGGAAAGCAGGGTATGCAACATTCATTTTAATTTGTACCATATCATATTTAGCAAGGCAAATTTGAGAAAATGTGCTTTCCTTGCATTTTTCACATGCACAGTATCAAATTTAAGACTCTGGAGAAAAGTCCGGGAGTTGTTTCCAGGACACTTGTAAGTAGTCTGCAAATGTAAACAGCAGGTAGAGACAAAGGGAACAGTAAAACGTCTAACAATAATAGTGGCTATGGAATCCAGATGGAGCTATTAAAATATATCAAAAATCTGAAAAAAAAGAGTTTGAAGAGCTGATACAACATCTGTATGTTTTAGTGTTATTTGCAACTTACCAACCCAGTTAGTCAAATACTGTACTGGTGCAACGCTATTCAGTACGCTATAGTTAAGAGACCATAAGCTTTTTTATAAATGAGTAATTTTTATGTTTATGGCTGCTAACAGTCCACTTACTCAACCAAGACTGCAATTATTTGTTTCCCAAGGGTGCCTGAATATTAAAACCATCCTCTCACACTATACAGGGCAGAGAGCACAAAAAAACCTTCTTTGCTATGCAAGTGTGGTTAAGGGTAAAGTTGTTCTATGCAGGCTATATAAAAGTATTTACTTTTTCACGTGAACATGTAAGTGCTGCGTATAGTCTGCTTTTCACAGAGCGTGGTGTGGAGCTTCTGCTAAGCCTGTGCCCGAGTGTTCACACGTTACCAGTGAAGACAGTGAATCACTGCACTTGGTTAAAATCAGACCCAGCCCTAACTGGTAGTACAGCGAAGCATGTGGAAATCCTAGAATTTACTGGAGGTTCTCTGAAGTGGCTGAAGTTTGAATCAAAATAAATATCCCTTCCAGTAGCAAGGATCAATAGGATTTCCCTTTTTTTACAGAATTGTGTCCCTATATTATTCTTCACAAATTATTCTGTATTGGTTGCTATTTGCTCAAATCCAAGTAAATGGATCCGACATACTTTTGTTTAGATTGGAAAAGTTAACTGAATTTCTTCTTGTGCAGTATCATCAGCAGAGGGCTCTTGGATTGGAAAGGGTGTAAAGCAGTGTTTACTAAAGTAAAGAGTTTCCATTTGAATAAAGGACAAAAATTCTGTGGGCCTGTGTTTGCTCTCCGTATAGCTCAGACCTTACAGGGTTTGTCTAAACTAATGCTAACTAGAGATTTTAGCCTTGAGAGCCCCAACATTGACACGGTATGCATCACAGAGCTCTGCACTGGAATCAGAACTGTTTTCACACATTAGTGGACAACTGGAAAATGCTTCCACGCTTTCCATGTTATTTATGTATGGAAAGTTGACCAAAAGTTACTGAAAAAACAAGAAAGACCCAGAATATTGCACAGCAATGCAGTCTGATGAATCCAATACAGGCACTCCTAGGCAGCAGTAGAGGGAAATTATTAATAGTAAAGGAGAAGGAACCCCAAGGTTGCCTTTTCCCTCAAGTACACTTGCATTAATTCGTATTCAGTCTGACATACTGTTTTTATGCATACTCTAGAGTAAAATCATCTTCCCCTATCTGTTCAGCCTAGTGGAAAATGATAAAAAACACAGGAAAAGGACCTTTCCAACTCAGTTTGAAACAATTTGCATTTGCTTTAGGGAATATGCTTTTATAATTGGAGAAACAATTTTGAACAAGTATATTTCTCCCATCTCAGCTTTACAAATGGTACAGTCATGGACATATCCTCATTCAACTGTTTTTCAGCAGTGACAGTGAATTTGGAAATTAAAACGGCCTATGCAACAATGAGGTCATCTGTAAAACAAGAAACACGGTGTAGAAAGACAAACCCAATGTACCTCAAGCTCCTTTACAAGTCATGCTTACCATGCCCCGTGAGAAATATACAAATTCTCATTTTCCATCACAATTCCCCAAGTGCTGTAGATTTTCTGAGCCTTCTATGAGCTCCTTCCTCATACCACTCTGCTGGACCCAAGCAGAGAGGCAAGGAATATAGAATATATAGAGCTCAATTGGGAACGTACAGAACCATTGCACTGTGTCAGCATTATAGGCAAAATTTAGCAGCATTAGAATTTCTTAGAAATTTTCATCTATTAACAGACACTGGCACATTTTAAAAGGTGTTATAATTCTTCAAAGAAGTCCTGAGACAAACACAAGACAAAAAAAAAAAATCACAAAGCTGGCAAAGAAAGCCTGTTGTGAAAAAGCCTACTGAAGTATATTTTCCTGAGGGGATGTTATGGTTGGGATCCCAGAGCTGCTCTTGGATCAGAGCCATTTCTGTCCATCTGTATTATGTAGCACACTGAGAAGAGCAACAATTACTGTCAATAGACCTTGGCAGGAGAGTAAGGGTGGAAATGCCTTCATGTTACTGGTCAGAGAATGTTCTAAAAGAAGTTTCACAACAGAGCGATGTTCTCTGGAGGTTTGACAGCTGTACTGAATCCTCTCCAACACCACCGTAGTCTCTCTCTTGGGATACTCCTCAAAAAGGAGAACTTTGGATACTGTGTCCTCTTCAAGATTTCTTATCCCGCTTCAAACAGGCTCATCTTCTCCAGGCTCAAATCTTTTCAAAACCAAGCCGAGGCACTTACCTTAACCAAGAATGGTAATTTTCAGAATATTGTTTAATACTTTCATCGCCTACCAGACTAGATTTTCTCTGTCTTCAAAATCAAGCTGTAGCAAGGCCTCACTCTAATAATTTTTATACAGGTAAGTACTGCAAAAAGTTAGTATTTTTAAAAGTTTGCAGATAAACTAAAACAGAACAGCAAAGAAAAAGCAAGTTGACCAGGCACACTGTGTTCTAGATTCAAGAGACAGTTACCTGCTTTGCCTTCCTGCTTTCAAACATCTGAGTTCTACAGGCTTTCAAACACAATGTAGGTAATGACATACAGTAAAGCATAGGATCTGGGAAATTCCAATGATGGATAAGTCTGGAATTCCATGTAGGTCTAACAGGTTTTTAAAATCTGGATTTAGAAAGCTCAATACTTGTTCCTCCAAATGAGAATTCTGGCAATAACTGGCTGTGCCAATAGCTGTTTGCAAATTCAGAAACGATGCCTCACTCAGTGTAATGGCATGCAATATTCTGCTCAACATTCCTTCACTGATTAAAAAATTAAATGCTTTGACTAGCCAGGTGTATGTATTTTAGGGTATTCTGTTTGTGTGGTTTGGGCGAGTGTTTATTGCTGTGCTTTGTGATAGGGAAAAGATTAGTGTGGCCTTTACAATGCTATCTTTCCAATGGAGTAGGTTGCTAAAGAGATTCATTCAGTGTTACTGAT